AGCGTCTATAAGGCGTTGAAGAACCTTTCCAACCTTCTCTCTGTGATCCTGAAGCGATCCTGACGAGTAGATTAAGATGTCGTCAACGTAGGCTGAAACAAAGTCGTCAAGGTAATCCTGTAGAACACCATTTACGTAGCGTTGAAATGCGGCTGGTGCTCCTGTTAGTCCGAAGGGAGCAACCCGCCATTCGAATAGGCCGTATCTTGTTCGGAAAGCTGTCTTCCATTCTTCTCCTTTGGCCACACGGATCTTGTGGAAGGCTGCGATAACGTCAAGTTTTGTGAACCATTTAGCTTTAGCTACATTTCTCAGTGTTTCTGTGAATAGAGGCAGAGGGTAACGGTCCTTCCTGGTGATGTTGTTCAAGCCTCGGTAGTCAACGCAAAATCGGATGCCCCCTCCTGGCTTTTTGACCATCAGGACGGGTGCAGCTGCGGGAGAGTTACTTGCGCGGATAAAATCCTTGTCTAACAGCTCGGTGAGAGTTTTCCTAAGCACTAGTAACTCTTCTCGGCTCATGCCGTAGAGCGGACCCCATGGAATGTCTTCTCGTTTCCGTCTTGATCCTTTTCAATCTCAATGTGGAGATCAACGCCTTTACGATGTGGGGGAAGTTTCTCAGCTAGGAAATGGTCGAAAGCCTTCAGCCATTGGTGGTACTGGGGTGGGAGCTTCGTCTTTGGATCGGATCGTTTGCGCGGTTTCAAAGCTTTCTCAATGTCGGCGATGGAAACAGCGAACAGTCCAGTGTCGAGCGCAATACCGTCTCCTTTGTTCTTCCTACGGCTTCTTCTCACCTCCGCCATGAATGCGGAAGCCATCACCTGAGTAGCCTTCATTAGTGGTGGCTTGTATGACGCTTTCTTGTGGTTCCATGCGCGGATGTTTGACGCGCCGATATCTAGGCAGCCTTGTTTGGCCGAAATTGTGACGTCGGCATCTTCTAACCAGGGCTTTCCTAGGATCACGTCGTAAGTTAGGCCAGGTACAACGTAGAAGAAGACGCGTTTCTGCTGGTGGCCGTCTATGTCTATCGAGGCGTAAGTAACTGTATCTAGGACAGTACTTGGTTCTGCGTTCTTCCCAGCTGCTTCCTCTAGCTGGCGCGGGGCTATCTTGATTGATGGCAGTCTCAGAGATCGAAAGAGTTGTTTATTAATGGCAGAATAGCAAAGGCAACCTGAGTCAACAAGTCCAGTGACAAAGTCAGTTCCATTAAGTCTAACGTCCAGTACAAAGGGATCGCTATCCATCTTTTGCTTTCCGGTCTCTTTCCATTCTTTCTGAGCTGCCGCGTGTTCCTATTGCTCTGCTTCGGAGTCTTCTGGATCTTCCTCCTCTACAGCTGCCTTGGTGACCACAGTACTCTTTGCTGTCTTGACGCTAACGTGAGTTGGTCGTAGAGCGGCTGCTAACGGGCATGTAGCTATTCGGCAATTGTTGCGGCCGCATCGGAGGCAGCGTCGTTCCTGGCGTCGAGCATCGATTTCCTCTTGGTTGACCCATTTTGCTCGTTTTCCAATAAGTTCTCGGTCTTCGGGACGCCTAGATGGATATCCATTCATGTTGGTCTTGCCGCGGAGGCCGACAGCGTTCACTTGGGTAGTTGTAGGCTGCGTAGGTTCCCATTCCATCATGTCTTCGGGGGAAACTGCTGTGAGCGTGGCATTATTTGATTTTGCTGGTGGTTCATAGGTTGGTGCATTTTCAGCAGTTCGGCTACCGTAACGGCGGGTTGTTTTCGTCCATTGGCCGAACAACTCCATGTCGTTGCTAAGATCTGCACACTTCTGAGCGAACCTTGCGTATGTGCTTGTTTCTGCTCCTGATGTACCAACAAGCCTATCCTTTATCCTACCACTTAATGCATTGCGTAAGTAGGATATCTTCGTATGCTCAGGCCAGCTTTCTGCGTCAGCGTTGGCCATCTCTTTCTCAAACCGTGGATAGAAGGAAATAAACGTCTCGTCGTCCTTCTGGCGTATAGAGTAGAGGTTCTGAATGGCTTTCTCCTTCCGATTTCGTTCGCCGTAGAGGAGTTCAAGGCGGTCAAGCAGCTTGAAAGGGTTTGGCGATTCTTCTTTAACTTGTATCTCGTAGTATGTTGTAACGTTGGTTTTCGCTGCCCCATCAAGACGCATGTAGACGTAGCGTAGCTGAGCTTTTAGGCTTCCAATAGCTTGCGCGTCTTCTTCGATCTTGCCCTCCATCTCTAGCTTCCATCCTCGCCATTGTGATTTGTTTCCACCAAACGTAGGCGGGTGGGGTAAGCTGTGCCGCGGCTTTGGGGTTATAGGCACAGATGTGTTCGAAGTCTCGGAGGTTGGCGTTGGATCAGTGGTGGCGTCTGTATTGTGACCAGGCGTTTGAGGTAGCTCGTGCGATGGTGCTTCCAGCCTCTCCATCCTAGTGCTCATGTCTTCAAGTCTCTGTAGTAGCGACTGTAACAGCTGGTTCGAATCGTTCGTCGTCATGTCAGTATCCCCGGGGGAGCTCATTATAGCGGTGCTTTGGTTGCTGCGTGTTCTGCGTGTTCTGCGTATTCTGCGTATTCTGCGTATTCTGCGTATTCTGCGTGTTCTGCGTGTTCTGCGTGTTCTGCGTATTCTGCGTGTTCTTCTTGATCTTGACTGTATGTGAACGGTCTGTAGGGACTGTATTCCAGCTACCTAGTCCAGATGCTATTTACAGTCAAGATGAAGAAAGAAGGTAAGACGCAAGCGGCGAGCCTGCTTTGTTTGGGTTGGCGCACGGCCCTCACGTTGCCGGGGAAGCGACTAGGCTAGCAGCCTAGTCATGTGACTCGAGGCTCAGCCCGTTACACCACTGCGTAAGGTCTGAATATCTAACGTCCGTCCCTATGTGACGAGAGACCCTTTGTGCCGGGACTGGCCAATCAGATCGCAGATTTTGGGTAGAAGTCTGTGATTTGAGCGATCTAATTGGCCGGTCCCGGCATAACTAAGTTACAGTGAGTCCCGTTACGGAGGGATAGGGTTTCTCGTCACACACAGGGATAAACGTGTCAGATTGTGATGGGTTATCAAAGACGGGGATAGTAGTATAATAATATGATGGGGATCGATTGTATTGTTCTGGTCTGATGTCGTGTTGTTCTGTTGTCCAACGCTGTTCGATCAGTTGGGTCGCGGTGGATTGTGCGCGCTGACTAATTTAACTGATCCACAGAATCCACAGCTCCGAACACCCGGATTTTGTCCACCACCCAAAATATGCCCATATTCTGACAAGACGTTACTAACCTCCCTCCTTACGTGGCGAACAACCCGGTGGGCCGAAAACAGCCAATGAGATACTGCGTAAGGTTGGGATATCTGCTATTCTTGCGCTCTTATTGGTTGTTTTTGGCCCACTGGGTTGTTCGCTGCGTAGGGAGGGAGGTTAACTAACTTTATCTTTGCGCTCTTATTGGCTGTTCTCGGCCCACCGGGCTGTTCGCCGATGTTAAAATGCTATCCACGCATGTCACTATTGAGGAGCAGTTCACTCTGTTACGTAAGATTACTGTTAACGATATTGGAAAGATTTGTTTTGCCTAACTCCGTCTTACAGTAACGTTACAAATGTTTACTAACTTAGTGGCTTAAGAGCTGTCCGTGCATCGCACTACTAATCCAGCCATTTCTCACGACTCTTCGTCATCCAGCAAGGCTTTCTGCTTCGACTTACTCTTAGTCCAATGACATTTGGTATCGCTCGGATCCAACCTAAATTTAAATTCAGAAAGATCGACTGTGTTTTGTTTCAGATCTTCTTGGATACTTTGTATCGCTTCCTCGATTTGGTGTTTTCCGTCTTCAAGAACGGACAGGACGAGTCGTTGGTTCCCGATAAGACTCCCTTTCAAGGAGGCAAAAATTAACTCTAGCGCGATTTTGAAGTTATCAAGTAGTAGGTTTCCGCTCCAGGACTTGTATTTTGCTAGCATTCGTCCACGTAACAATTCGTCTCCACTTGTACTGCAGTTGTCGGAACTGGCGATGCTATCGCTTGCGTCTTCGTTTTTTACGCTGGGAGTCGGGTGTTTTGGCTTGATACCATTATTTTTTCCCCACTCTATCTCTAGTTGTCCGCTGTCATAATTTCCCATAATTGATCTGAACGTTGCCCTGCGTAACCATTCAAACGAACCTACACCCTTACGGCTATAGATGAAGAGCTGATGTTTTTCGAATTGTAGGATGGTGCCTCAATCAAATTCACCATAACGGGATTTTTCTAGGTTGCTTTTGTGTTCGTTAGGTGTAAACGAAGGGAGATCTTCAGGATATGAGGTTTTTTGCCCCTTCACATTTAGTATCTTGAACTCGTCCGGGTACTCTGCTAATACCTAGTCCTGGAATCTCGCTAGAAAGCGTGGAGAGGACGAATTTCTATTGCCTGCACTGACTAAGCTAGAGCTGGATTCGCGTCTTTTGTGAGGTACTGGCATAACTTATGCATTTGAATAATTAACCTGATCTGATCGTTCGAGCGGAAACGAACTCTTTAAAGGAAATTACGATAACGTATCTTTACTGCTACTATAAGCAATGGTTAAGTATAGTAACGACTAATCTAGATTATGCTTACCCTCTTCTTTGTAAGACATCATTGTAGCAACTTGCGTTAGGCTTGTACAGCGACTGTACCTCAACTTAACAGCAAGATCTGATTCTATCTTACGCTCACATGCACTTGCAGTTTCCGCTTTTGCATGCCACTCGCCTTTGATCCCATGCAGCACATTGACCCACCTAGTATGCACTTGTCCAAAGGATATCAGGCCCTGCAAACGTTGGACTTTGATTGGTCCGCACATTTGGCAGACGATTGATCACAGTCCGCAACAATCAATTAAGTGGGTCCTAGAAGGTTCAGATTGGATTGATTGATTACCGCTTTAAGCCTAGTAGTTACCTATAGGAGTTTAAGCCCTACCTAGATAGGTAAGTGGGTCTAGGAGAGTGACCGGATTGAATTGATTGTTGCGGAGTCTAGTCTCTGCGGCCGCCAGAGCGTCTTTTTATTCGCATTGGTGCTGCAAGACAGTCAGAATACCGGAAAAGATAGATTTCCAGTGGAACCGTTTCAACGTATGATTCATGTTTATACCGTAGTGCGCTACAAATCGACTTGGCATGTTGCACAAATGTGTGCTTCTTCCCAAAGCGGCTGTGGATACGATCTGCTGCGGGCGTGAGCCGCCCAGTGACAACAACACCCGAGGACCAGTCGAACATGACACTGTCCACGAAGTCGGTAGATTCATCCACCGCCGCTCTATCGAGAATTAGCGAGTTGGGTCCTTTAGGCTCCATTCGGAGCCTTGCGCCCGATACCGAAGAGACGGGCCAGTAGGTCATCTCGACATAACCCCACGCTGGGGTTAGCGCAATTTCTAGTAGTGTGATTAGGGCAGGGCTGTCCGGCGCGCCTAAAATTTCGAACAGCCGATCTGCATCATCACCATCACCGAGCTTTGCCATGACGTACTGTCCATCAGGAAGGACAGCCTCAAGAGACAAAACTGCGCAATCAAAAGTCCCGAACTGGAAAGACGAAGATCCGAAAGTCGCAGTGGCAAAAGCGTCCGCTATAGTTGTGGCCCTCGAAGGAGCAATTACGGTGGGGATCAGCCCTTCCATCTTCGTCAATTGAACTAGCGCCTCCATGGTGACATTTGGCTCGACCGAAGCGATGAATCTGTCTCGATCGATCTCTACTACCTGGTTGAGGCCCAAGAGCTGACTGGGGGCACTACAGGGTACTTTCTGCGCAAGACTGAGGCCTAATTGATCCCGAGTAGCCTGCCTCATACTCTCACATATCGCGTGAACGGCTCGTCGATGCCTTCCCCATAGCTCGTCATTGTACTCCATTGTAGTAAGGGATAGCATCTGTGACGGCTGGGCTTGTACGAGTAAGGAAGCGACGAACCTGAGCACGCTTGCAGTGAGTGCGCGGCGAGAGCAAGATAAGAACACAGTCAGTAAACGAGGACATGATCACCTACGGATCTTCTCGCTCATGCCATTAGCCCTGGGTAAGCTCCATCAAGGTCTTGGCAGGACTTTGGATCGTTCGTTTATTGTGACCATGAGGGAAGGAGACGACGTGGTCACACAGCCAGCATCTATCCCATCGCGTGTACTGAATGCTAGTCGCACGGCAGGCCTGTCTTATCGACTCCTTTCTGCTACGCATATACCGGCCATTCGACATTCCTCAGCAGGTTCGTTGGCGATGAGAAAGTCCAGGACTGCTTACAGTGAGAACCATTCATAACCGTACATCCCCTGCACGGCGCTAGTACCTGTCAGGGAAGTAACGACTGTGCGCTTTGAACAAATGATGTGCGCGAACCGGAAACCAATTTTGGTCAGCACTGTACTACTGTAGGTATCGCGGGCTTATCCACAAAAACATGATATTCCACTGCTTCACGCATGGTCTCTCTCCCGAGTGCTCGGCTTCAGTGGATGCGCTGGCCTACAATCATCAGCAATTGCGGCTTCACCCTTCCACGCAGATGCGCAACGGTTTTGTATAGCCCCACCTTCTGTATATGGCTTAGCACTAGATGTCCGCTGCAGAATAGTACATGTGATTGGTCATTCTCCATCTAATGATGACTGCACTTTAGAATACACTCTCATGTATTTGCAGTTTCCGCTTTTTGCATGCTGTCTGGCTTTCATCCCACACGATCTACCGTCTCGATTCGTGAGTGCTTGCCCAAAACATCTTAGTGTCAGAATATGGGCATATTTTGGGTGGTGGACAAAATCCAGGTGTTCGGAGCACTCGGATTTTGTGGATCAGTTAAAATTAGTCAGCGCGCACGATCCACCGCAATCCAACTGATCGAACTGCTTTGGATCAGCAACAACACAACACGAGATCAGACCAGAATAATACAATTTATCCCCGTCTTTGATAACCCATCACAATCTGACACTTAGATTCTGTAAGCGTCTGCTTTCAATTGGCTAGGAGATACTGTTGTCTCTACAAACGGAACTGCTGACAAGAGCTAGCGCTCTTCGGTCATTAGGCGAGAGTGGGATGAAAGATTGATTGCTTGCAAGAACCGGAAACTGCAAGTGCATGAGAGCGTAGAGAGTAAGCAATTTGCATAGGTTGTCTAAGCTATCCGCTTTCTCTTACGTCATCTGAACTTTTGGTAATCCTCAGAGGTCAATATAATATGTCCAGTTTTCCCAGACTAGTTTCAAAGGGCCTCTATTCAGCCTTCTTAAGACGCACCTGGACTCTTTTCAAAGTGCCGTAGCTCTGTTTGAACATGGGGATCCCCTTACTCCCATACCAAAGTCAGTGTGATAATGCGTCCTTGCAAACTCTCGTTAGACATAATGACTGCATCAACTGTGTGGTCATCTCAAACGACTCCAAGTTCCTAGCGTCGGCATCGTGTGATGGAACCGTCAAATTATGGGATGCAAATAGCGGCAAATGTCTGCGCACTTTTACCGGTCACCGAGAATGCGTCAGTTCTGTGATTTTCTTGCCCAACACAAATCAGCTGGTGTCAGCATCACGCGACAAGACCATCAAGATCTGGAACATAGAGAATGGCAAGTGCTTACAAACCCTGGAGGGCCATCAGGACTGCGTGAGCTCCGTGGTTTATTCGCGAGAATTAGGTCTGGTGTCAGCATCCTGCGATGGGACTGTCAAAGTATGGCCAATGTCAGCCTGACACCTCGGTTCACCTGGTACACTGTGAACCGTATCTCACGTGACTCCTCGTCACCTGCTTACTCATCTCGGTTGTGTATATAATCGCTCTATGTAGCTCTCTCAATAGAACAACCTTCTTCCTCTCTTCTGCCCTGTCCTAAGATATCTAACAGCCAAGAGCACATCTTTTGTCATAGGGGGAAGGAAGCCACTTCAATACCGACTAGGCCTACGTGATGGAGGTGGAGAAACGTGCGTGAGCTTGTTGTATTGGAGCTACGGGAGGAGTGAGAATATCTATGGTGCGCGCACGGAGCAGCTGACTAATCAGTGCCTGGCCAATCAGAGCACGGGAAGCCTGATTCACCGTGAATACTAGTGAAGGCTCTTACCGCGTCTCGACACTACGCGTTGGAGCTCGGCTTGGAAATTCATCGTTACGAAAGAAGGTGACCAGGCAAGACTCTTACAGGGCGCGGAAGTTCAGGCCCTTGAGATTGAGGACGCGGCAGGCATAGTTTTGGGCGAGTAGGAAGGGTTGCGGTATGCTCCGTGAATGAAACGTCACCATTGTCCCCACTGCGACAAAATATGGAGTAACGTTATGTTTGTCTCCATGCTGAAATGCATGATTTTTGATATTCATTCTTCCATTTCATCAGACTTCGTGCCAACGTCCATCTAATTTCTTCACTATTCAGCATGTGATTGGCAAACTAGTAACATCCCTCATTGTGTGACAGAAAACTCGGTTTGACGGAAATTGTGGGCGAACAACAGAAGAAGAGAGAAATGGTTGATTATTCTACCGAGTAACATTGATCCCTGTATAGCGAGAAACCCGCTATGCCGAGAAATCAGTCAAATCGCGATATCACGGCACCAACTCGGCGCTCTATGGGTCACGTGCCCCCATCCCTATCTTGGCATAGCGCCTGCTACCCTACGGTACATATCCTCCCCGCGCTCTTGTACATACACTCCTATGCACTTGCAGTTTCCGATTCGTATAAGCAGGCGATGTTTTTGATCCCGCGCCAAGCCTCTCTCGCTCACGGATGACCTTACCCCGATAGTGCTAGTTTGTGTCAGTCGATCGTCTGCCAAAATGTGCGGATCAATCAAAGTCCAACGTTTGCGGAACCTAACCCTTCCTAGACAAGCGCATACCAGGTGGAAGACGGGCGGCGTGCATAAAGCGGAAACTGCAAGTGCATGTGAGTGTAGACCTTTACACTACAACTACGTCCTTACCTTGCAACTACTGTTCGGTGCGCTGACACCCACGCCTTCCGGAGTATTTGATATGTTGATCCTCTAGGTCGCTTTGTGCGACACACAGATTTTCCGCACAGAGAGATCGAAGTTAGTCTATACGGCTGAGTCCTGACCACAGAGATGTCAACAAGCAAGTCAAGCTGGCTTGATTCTTATCGATTGCAGATCACAGACAATATAGAGGCTCGTGCACAGTGGCACGTCCCAGAGAATGGTCTGTGATCTGCAATCGATAAGAATCAAGCCAGCTTGACTTGCTTGTTGACATCTCTGTCCTCTCCTCACACCGCTACATTAGTCCCTGAACATGAAAGCGCTAGTTGTTGTCTTTGTCATCGTGTGAGCACAGATAGACTCAGGGCGTGCATCCTATCATATTCTTACAGATGCTAGTGACGAGGAAAAGGAATAAAAACATTCCATCTCAAAGCGACTATTATCAATCACTCAAGGCTGACATCGCCCTTACGCTTACTTCCAATCAAACGAAGATGTCTCTTCGAGGCTCATGCAAGACACTGCATGAGGATACACTCTCATCCACTTGCAGTTTCCGGTGTTTGCAAGCAATAGATTTTTGATTCCACGCCAAGCCTCTCTTGCCTGATGATCATCTTACCCAGATAGCGCTAGCTCCTGTCAGTAATACCTTTAGTCACTCATCCACGAACGTTCTGGACCAATGAAAATCTAACATTTATAGAGCCTACGACCTTCTGAGCAAGCGTACACTAGGCAAGACGATGGATTGCGTGGGATAAAAGCTAGGCGGTATTCAAAAAGCGGAAACTGCAAATGCATGAGAGTGTAGTCACTGTAAAATAGCCTCTGTTTTCTAGGAAGTCATTCCGTCTCACACCGTCACTCCAAAAACTAGATGGCATGATGTATTATTTTCGGCTGCTCATACATGACGCTCAAAAAAGGTCGTTTTGCTGTAACTACAAGGGAGCATCAGCAGTAATCGACAGATTTTTCTAATCTGAGGGCGTAATGACCAGACTTGCCAATAATCAATCAGATCGGCATGATTGATTCCTATATAGATTAAAGAATTACTTCATTAGGCAGCCTTTAAACTAGATAGGAATCAATCATGTCGATCGATTGATTGTTGACAAGTCTGGTAGTTAATGACATGACGTCGCGGACACTGACGCATCAAGTAGAACGGGGGATCTAACCTGGTACTGTCAGCAAGCTTCATACAGCCCCTCAGCATCGAATAGTAGGATAGCCACTATTAAAAAGCAGTTGGCTGAGCGTCCGGGGTTTAGTCTTCCAACATGGCGGATCTATCAGCCTCGGTATCAGTGCCCAACACAATGACAGCCAACGACTGCACAGCGCTCGAACGCCAACTTTCCACTTTGCTAGCCATGTTGCGAGGGTGTTCCCAACTGAAAAATTCGTAATGCTCCTAAGATTGCTGTTGATAGAAGCTAAGAAATTACAGGAACGTTGACGCTCTCATAGCACAAGTGCGTATTGAGTTCCAACGCCTTGAAGAATGCGCCGAAGACGACCCACGTTTGCACCAGCATGACCACATTTCCGGTAGCTCTGCTCTGGGCCTCGTTAGCTCTTCGCCTGTGCTATCGCCACCCGCCGAAACGACTGGAGATGGGTTTCCCGCAGTGCATCTTGAAGGTGTTTCTTCGCCAAATATCGTCAGTGCGATGGGGAAGGAGCCAGAAACCTCCGACTCAGACGGATCATACGAGCCAACAGATGCGCTCCCAGAGCTCCCGGTCGAATCGATACCTCGAATCGAAGTAAACTCTACACCCCCCGGTTCTCCACACTTGGAGACACCGGGGATAGAAGTGTCGCCTTGGGTTACATACGCATGATCATAGCCGTCGCTGCAGACAGGTGTGGTACATGGACTTGAGCACAGTGGGCAGTGCAAGCCTAGACTGCGCAGTGGGGTTTATTTGGAACGAACGCAACTGGCGTGGTGGAAAGAATAGAGCGTGCCCGTACGTCTGGCCTATACTATCGAGCCCTAGACACAGTATTGTTTGGCTTTTTTTCATGCTAAAATAATCAACATGCACTATGACGACTACCTTTGTATACTCTGCGCTTAGGTGAACCAAACTCTGACAATGCAAGGACTCGTCCGTAACATGAAGTTCACTTCGACGATAGATACTACACGTTGGCCGCAATCGAAAGTCCCACTTGATGAGCAAATTACATAACCTTGGTAACTTGAAATGCTGGCAAGCAGGTCAGGCAAAAGCTACTTCTGCCTAACGTCCATCCTTGCGTAGCGGGACACCCTGTGTGCCGGGACCTGCCAATCAACTTGCAGATTTTGGGCAGAAGTTTGTGATTTAAGCGAGCTGATTGCCCGGTCCCGGCACACAGGGTGTCCCGCTACGCAAGGATGGACGTTATGTTCGATTGCGCTATGGAAGCTAGGGGCGATAACCTGTGCCACGGGTGTGATGCGCTGCACGATTGTCCAATCGCCGTTTTTGTGACGCAAGAAAGATGTACCCATACTCTTTTCCAAACATTGGCTCGGAGGCGAGCATTACTGTACAGCAGAAAGTAGAGCTAGAGATATTGCACGTTTTACTACAAACGGGCACGTAGCACCCATGATCTACGGTCATGTTGTAACACGAGAACCGCTAAGATACCATCCTACATCCTTCTAAGCAAACCGCTCATGTACCTATCTCGCTTCGCACACTGCCGTGGGAATGTTCCCGTTCTGTGTATATCTTGTCGAAGCTCTTTGAAGGAGGTGAAGTGCACCACCGGGAATTCCGGGTTTCGGCGGTGATCCACAAGGCTATAAAGGTTCACGAAGTGAGCCTCAAGAACCTGGAATTGATTAGTACTCCAACTGCGAGGACACCTTCTCACGCGGTCTATGCCAATGTGCTTAATCAGGGTATTGAGCTCACCTTCTTGCATTTCGTGATGGACTCTGGATCACTGCCGACTCCTACCTCGCGACACAAGCGTTGCCAGCGGACTAACCCGCTTGACTTGTCGCCATGAAAGTCGATCTCGCCGGCCAACGCCTCCGCAAGTTTCTTGTGCCTTTCTTTTTTGCTCCAGGCCATCCGACTCGCTAAGCTCTCAAATTCGTGCAAGAAACGCGCTGCAGGATTGGTAGCAAAGCCTGGAAATTGGAGCCAGAAAGCGTTTGTCTTTGGGGCGGCGTTGAACCTCTGCACTGTGACTGTGTCTATTTTGCTCATGGGGAGAATTGTCCAATCATGCTCCTCCTCCGGGACACCAAGATCGATGCTTCCACCCATTGAGTCGTCAGTACCTGCAGACATTTTGACACGGTGGTATACTACAAGGAAGTAGTTGGATCCTTGTACCTACATGCTGTTAGCGGCCGTAGGTATCCTCGATTTTAACCTACCTGGATTGAAGATTGTCTCCCGTACGAAATGGCCTCAGTGTTTTGCGAATGTGTGCATCGATAGACGGAGGCGACTTCTTCTTCACCTCATTTAAATCTAATCGTCCGCAAGAGCGCTACGATGTAACACGACTTAGATCAATGGTTGTAGTCTCTGTCAAGTGCTCGGTCTCTCCGAGGGTGGCAGTTGTTTGGCCGAAGAAATGATTTTTTCCGCTCCTATTTGCTTATGTCGTGCCATGTGCCAACGTTTCGAAGGCCGGCGCTGCATCTTTCGCATTGCAGCTTGGACTTGTGAATGACTGCACACTGATTACGAAGCAGTAACGGCTGAATCGTTGCCCAAAGGTTTGATTTGCAGTGTGCAGTATGCGTACAGTAGAGCGTGTGCGATGACTCAGTACATGATTGGGGAGGAGAGCTGGACTGCATGTACTTTTGTTTAATAGGTAAGCGAGAGATGGGCCGCTAGTCGTGTAGTCTCATCTAGACAGTAGGCTGCAACAACAAGCCTGGAACAAGCAGACAACGTACTGTACAGTACAGTACCACTCACCTGGGCAATACAAGAGTACAGTCATTAGCGATTGCGGCTTCACCCCTACACGCAGATGCGCAACGGTTTTGCACAGCCCTACCTTCCGTATATGGCTTAGTGCTAGATGTCCGCTGGAGAGTAGTTTATGTGATTGGTCATTCTCAATCTAATGATGACTGGAATTTTAGAATAGCTGCCTGCAGGGGTGAAGCCGCAATCGCCAATCACTGTAGACAAATTGAACACCTGCTGAGAATTTGAAAAAGCCAGCCCGAGTAATGCACGAGACAAGCTCCGCAAAGGGATCATGCTGACACCTGTGCGTGCTGGCTGAGTGAGATAATCCATTGTCAGCAAAATGGCATTTGTTCACCAGAAACAGTCAATCCTGTCGAGCACTGGATTTCTGAGGTTTTTGAGAGGAGCATAAGCAAAGCGATACACAGCTAATGCCTAGTCTATGTGTGCCAAGCTCTAGACGTGGTGAGCACGATGGTTCTAAGTGTGCTACACAGTGGGAGGTCTGTGCCAGTGCAGACAAGGGAGCCTCTAGTGAGCGCGTGCTGAAGTAGAAAGTCGTCGGCGAACTAGATAGATTCGTAGACATGCCACTTCATGTCCTTCGAAGCTGGAGTCATTGCACGTCTATGTACTTTAGGGTACTGTTACTCGCGTCTTGACATTACCTACAATGACAGAACAGAACACAGCTCCGCCCTCTCGCCCTCAGGCCAATGATGCCAAGCCTAAGAATACACGAGACGGTCTGTATGAGTCTACGGTTTATCTACCTAGCAATCTAGAAGCTATGGTTGGTGTACGCGATTCCTTCCTATTTACTGACGTAGAATGGAAGCGGAGTTTGGGGCGTCGAATAGAAGACGCGCACCACTATGGCCTAGCCATCGTGCCGTACGAAGAGCTATATTCCTTGGCGACCGAGAAAGCGTACCCGAGAGCCTGGCCATATCACGAACTTCAGAGATATCTGAGAGTCGTACTGAGAATCGGTGATCCGTACTCGAAACACGTTACTGAATTCTCGAACTACTTCTGTCTTGCTTTGCAGGAATGCTGCACACATCTCCAACAACAGCAGAGTCGTCGAGGGGAGGGCGATAGAAGGATATGGGTATATGAGTCAGGGCAGAGGGAGCTGTCCGGCATTAGACGGCTGCCTTCCAGTATTACCGAACCCGTCAAGACTCTCCTAGAGATGCTGCGCGAGTATCCGAGACCAGGACGGTCTGGTACCCTCAACGAAGATGCAAGGTCGTGGCTTGCGAGTCGCGTAAATCTTCGCCAATCCGAGGATATTACAGAAGGCGTGGCAGATGCAGGACAGACCGTGAGCCTTAGCGCACTAACAAGGGCCTGGACAGGAGAAGGGTACCACGAACACCTGTTGCGAAAATACATCTGGTACAAAATGATCAAGCAGGCCCCGTCTCGACAGTATGAGATCAACGCTTTGGTCGGTCAGCTGTTCGATAAGCCGTGGGAAACCAGACATCGCATCCTGACAGCCGACGAGAACAATGAGTCAGACCTCCGCATCCATCACACGAGAGAGCCCGATGGGGGGAGGCCAGGTTGATGTTCGCTACAAGACCGCGTTCCGTGCGTCGTGCCCGATGCCGACGCATCGGGGTCATGGAAGCGAAATTCGTGACAAAGACAGCCAAGTCTTTCTGGACCAACGTGCTGAGCAGCGCTGCCGCTTTTTTCTGCTAGCACGTCCTTGGAACGCCAACTTGACTCCAGCCCCCTGTCGTACAGAAATACCTCCCGCGGACAATTCCAGGCTCTATAGGCACTAAGGTTTCCGTGGTCGTCATGCTTGTGTTACCACCTTGGCCAAACCACACGCGGGCGAGGACCTGCCCCAACAATTGTGGCGTTATGAGGTTCCATTTAGGTTCTGGCTCGGTAGAGCCCTGCCCCCCACCACATTTCCAGTGCCGGACATAAAACGCTGTTACCTGCGGCTCCACATGCCGGCAATCCACCGCCTTTGTTGCCCAAACTAAATTCCCGATGCATCAGCGTCTGCACTAACTTAGAAGCAAGGTAGTGGCCTGGGGTGTGGGGTCTGATAGCCATCGTGATGCCCACAACTCAATACGGGGACCAGAGGCAAGTCAGCCGAGCCGCTCGAGACACGATGGAGGCTACGACGCTATGATGCAGGACGACCGTAAGCATTTTGGAGGATCATGCGGCACAGTGCGAGGCCGCGCCGCTACTGCGCCGCAACTACGCCGCAGTAAGCTGCTTATTGGTACGCAGCTTACCAGCGAGCGCCTGACAGCTAGCTACAGAGCGAAAGAGAACTCGTCGGTCTGTGCAGGGAAACAATAAGTGTCATTTTACTATTACATTTTCAAATATGCATTGGTGATACCTCTCGTGTCTGATAAGCAATTTCAAAGCAGGCGACAAAAGCAGCCCTCCGGCAGCGCTCTCAACCTACTTCAATGCGCACAAAGACTAGGCTGTGCACGACTGCACGTGGATGCGATTTGAAAGGACGCATGGCTTCGGCCCATCAGCAAATTCACCGTGCGACATCGGACGCACGTACGAAAAGTGGTTTGCTGGGGGGCCGCGCAGACTGCCGACCAAGTTTCTCGTTAGGGTCGGCGTACAGTAAGTTACCTACCTACCGTACAGTCTCATGCACTTGCAGTTTCCGGTTTTTGCAAGCAATCAATCTTTTATCCCACGCAAAGCCTCTCTCGCCAAATAACAATCTTAACCGAAGAGCGCTAGCTCTTGTCAGCAGTACCTTATGTCTCCTAGCCAATCAAAGTGAAACGCTTACAGAGCCCAAGATGTTTTGGACAAGCGCTCACCAGTCGAGACGATAGATCATGTGGGATGAAAGCCGGGCAGCATGCAAAAAGCGGAAACTGCAATTGCATGAGAGTGTACTGTACCTACCGTATCCGTGCGCCTTTTGAGCCGGATCGCGTTCTGAGCCACCCAACAACATCAAAAGTTCAAAAAGATGAGGCTGTACAGCCACCAACAATAGCTATCATCGCGATATTTCTTGTAGATGCAGTAATTATACTATTGCGATCAACTTGTGCTACTTATGTTTCCTCGGTACTTGAGTTTTGCGGTCATGACGGGTGATTCTTGTTGGAACAGCTGGTGCAGTCCCAACTTCTTGTACATGAGATAAATTAACAACAATACGCTTCTGACGCTTCTGCTTTTGAGTAGAAGCTTGTAAGGCCTTGCGTTTTTTTGAGCGTCGCGAGCTGCCGTCCCGCCTCGCCTCGCCTCGCCCTGCCCTGCCCTGCCCTGCCTCGCCTTGCCCGACCTCAACACCAACAATAGTTAACGCCGACCGTAGATGTGGGGAAACATCATCAAATGTAAATTAGAAGCAATCAAAACAAGCAAATATTACAGTCATTAGCGATTGCGGCTTCACCCCTACACGCAGATGCGCAACAGTTTTTCACAGCCCTACCTTCTGTACATGGCTTAGTGCTAGATGTCCTCTGCAGAGTAGTCTATGTGATTGGTCATTCTCGAGCTAATGATGACTGGAATTTTAGAATAGCTGCCTGCGGGGGTGAAGCCGCAATTGCTAACGACTGTATCAAGATTCTTGCTTACTGACAATTCTGGTCTCTATGACTAGCGTGGTGATGTGTACTGTAAGGAGTGCACTTGAGGGCTCTAGTTCGCTACATCAGACTGTCGGTTGGCGAGGCTGCCGATACCTGCTTACGGTCAGCGCAACAGCGACGCAGACCACCATCGTCAGGGACGGCACCGCACCCATCAACTAACACGGTCTTCGGGACAGCCGTCATCTGTCAAGCGATTACAACACCGTCAGCGCCATCATAGTCAGGCTGTGGGCGAGATGCTGGTCCACCTCCCTCTTACGATGGAAGGATTATGGGTGCATGGCAAGCTGGCGAACGCAAAGTAGCACAGCAAAAGGCACAGCGACGCGAGAGAAGTGGCAATCATGCTTCCTGTTACTAGTGCAGCTCATGCGCTACATATAACAGGCCATCTTCTGCGTAACCAAGGTGCACTTCTATATCGTACGTCTAGTCGCATACCAGCCACCATGAAGCTCGTTGCCACTGCGCTATCTCTACTTGCCGCTTCTCAGTCGCTTGCAAGCCCCACGCCAAAATCGAGCGATGTCTGGATCGGCTTGAACTTGGAACAGTGTCTCACCAATGCCACCACCATCCCTCCGCCAAAGTACGTCCTTACCATGAGCATGCCCTCCCGGACATGACTTCGGCCGTCGCCAAGACAATGGCACAATCGTAGTTCACTCCTAACATATGCAGTCTGGTGGCCCAGAAAGAGACAGCTCGGAAAGTCATAGCAGGTTACAACGCCTGGGACAGAGACAGCATCTTGGAATACCGGGCCCCCGAGTGCGAGCAACAAGTCCTGCCTGCCTCTATGAACCGGGCTGCGCAGAGCAACGACGAATACGGCGCCTATTTCGATAGGATCAAGTCTCTATACTCAGACTTTACCGTTAGTGCGCCCCGCCCAAACCTAGTGTGATATTACTGACCTAAGTACAGGTTACTGTCATGGAAGAAATCCATGATGCTGAGGCACACAGTTGTATTATACACGCGTCTAGCACGGCGAGCACAGCTATTGGGCCGTATGCGAACGAGTATGCGTTGATTATAGAGTTTACGAAAGACGGCAAGAACGTTACCAAGATTTATGAGTTTGTCGACTCAGATTACTCTAAGAAATTCGTCGCAGAGCTAGCGAAGCAGGAGCCCGCTCAATAACGGAGTCGCACTGGCCAGTTTAGCGAGATAGCCGAAAACGATTGTTTGCCGGGACCGTTGTATGGCGGAGGTCAGATAGACAGCATAGTGTTCGCGCTACGAAACAAGCGACTCTACTCGGCATACTTGTCAACGAGCGAGCCGGCTCGCTCAGCTCGCTCGGCTTGGACGTTTTGACCAAGCCGAATGAGCTGAGCGCGCAGTGCGCGCTTGCAAGCCGAGCGAGCTTAGGGATAGGCGCTCGCTCAGTCAGCTTGCTTAGCTTGGTTGGATGGAGCGGTTGGAAACTTGGGGCTGAAGGACTTGGTGGAGGGGCAATCTCACGATGATTTTTAGGTGTAGTGCGTAAGTTCGAAACCTAGTTATAACCTAAAATACACTCTTTTTTGCTATATTTCTAGCAAATAAGCTACTAAACTTCCGGCTAACGGCCTGGCAACAATATTCTCCTTCTGCGACACTTCACTTACTACTTATCACCCACCACACTCACCTATACTCCACCAACGCGTCTCTATTTGCAGCTATTATCTACCTCGCCGTTGCTATAATGCCAGCAAAAAGAACATGCGTTAATGCTCTAGAAATCGCGACAACTTCGAAGCGCCCTAGAGTCGCAGCGCGTCATCGCGGGACTGCCAGCCAACCTGTGCTAGTCGATACTCAGCCATTCTCACCATCTCCACCTCCTCCACCGCTGTCGCCGCGTCAAGCTCTCGTTGCCGCGCCACAAGCACCAAATTTTGAAGCGACCCTCCGAGAGTCGCGCGCCGAAGAGACGATCATCCCACCACCTAAGGGCAGCGAGCATGCCACTGTTGCAGCTTCAGGAGCAGCTAGCGAGGCTGTCGACGAGGGTTTCGTATGGGTAGAGGACAAATACGACGGCTTTAATTGGAGTCGCTACCCAAAGCACTGCAAGCCGCCCACATCACTTTCGAACCGAGCAAGCTGGGTATACAGCCATGGCTATCGCATCGCCTTGCGCAGCAACGTCGCAAAAGTCACGTGGATCTGCCACTATTGCTATAAGCACAAGTTCACTACTGTTGGCCGTGGCATACATGACGTCTCGCAGTCTCCATCAGCGCCAGCACGTCATCTCGGAGAAGACAAGAAAGGTCATGGCTTGAAGCCTCCAAGTAAGCGCACTACCGTCGCTCCTCGGAAAGAAACTCTCCTCGAACGCGCCCTTCAGAAGGGCTGCTCTCAGGCTGTTGCCAACGAGCTTACCAACTTCAATATACAAGAGTTTAGGCTTGCGGCCGTCACCTGGCTCGTCGAAAACAACCTCCCACTCTCACAATTCGAATCATCGTCTTTTCGCAATATGATACAATTAGCTAGCGTAGAGGCAGAACGAGCCCTGTGGGCATCTCATAACAGCGTCTCACGATACGTTATACGCCTGTACAACTACCTGTTACCAAAGGTTGTCGCAAGCCTTTCAGAATCAATGAGCAAAGTCCATATAAGCTTTGACGGATGGACGACAAAAGGTGGCAAGCGCGGTTACTTAGGTATCGTCGCCCACTACGTTGATAGCTCTGGCGAGCTCAGGGACTTGCCTATTGCGCTCCCACAACTGACAGGTGCCCACACCGGCGAGGCCATGGCTGAGGTCGTGATGGCAATATTCAAGCAGTTCGAAATCACTGTGGGCAAGCTCGGTTACTTCGTCCTCGACAACGCACATAACAACAACACCACGATCAACACTCTCGCCTTGCAGATGGGCTTCAGCGCTACCGAGCGTCGCCTTCGCTGCGGTCCTCATACGCTTAATCTCATTGGCCAGATGCTACTCTGGGGTGAGGAGAAAGAGTCCTACGACAACGAGGAGACTGAGCGCGTGAACGAAGCTGAGAACATGGCTACTTGGCGAGGCGATGGACCATTAGGAGTGCTTCTCGCGGTTATCAACTACATCAAAACACCACAACAGTACGCTCTTTTTGAGAAGTATCAGAAGCTCGCTATTAGGGACCAGCCTGTCAACGCGCCAACAGAACAGCACAAAATCAAGGAGCCCGTCAAGCCAGTTGTTACTCGCTGGAACTCTTACGTTTCGTGTTTTGAGCGCGCTGTTGAGTTGCAATTAGCGGTTAATGGGTACGCCAACTACCATATTCAGAAGATTGAAACTGAAGACGCGTACGCCCGAAGTCGTAACAACAAGCTGCCTGCAGCGCCGGATTGGATGAGGTCTGATGGTATCAATGCCCATGACTGGCAGGTGATTGCTGAGTATATTGATGTGCTCAGGCCACTGAAACAAGCTACAAAACGGCTTGAAGGCCGCGGCAAAAGCGGTGCTTTTGGAGCAATCGCTGAGGTTATTCCAGTATTTGATACTTACTTGGAGTCTATGAGGACCGCTTGCAAAGCTATGAAGACGTCATTCACGATGAGCATACAGAGTCACCCGAAGACCACCTTGCTATCAACCTCCGCGCTGCCCTAGTTAAAGCCCGCGAGTACTACAACAAGCTCGACCTCTCGCCAGCTTACTATGCTGCTACAATCCTTCATCCTCGCTACAAAAGCTACCTTGACGCAGCGTGGGCGGATAAGCCTGATTGGCTAGAGAGCAGCAACCGCAAGTTTCAACATTTGTGGGCGGAGTACAAAAGCTTACCGAAGCCGCGCTTACGCCCCAAAGTCAGGCACAATGATATAGACGACGCTATCAACAGCTTTATTGAGCCTGCAGGGCTTACGGAGAACGAGGAGGATGAATATGAGGCTTGGAAACGCAGCGAACCGATCGCTAGCGAGGGCGTCGACCCTATAAAATACTGGGTAGGACTCCGCGATCGCTACCCCAGCCTTAGCAAATTTGCTATCGACATGCTATCAATCCCAGGCTCAAGCTGTGAGTGTGAGCGCTTATTCAGCGAGCTGGGTGACCTCCTCGAGCCCCGTCGGCGCAGCATTTCTCCGCAACTTCTAGCAGCAATACAGTGCGATCGACGATGGATAAGAGCTGGATTTGGCAGTGGTGAGGTGCCTGTAAAGGAGGCTATCAGCGATGAGGAGATGGACGCGAAATACGGTGTACATAAGTGGGATATTAGCTGAGAAACTCAACACCAAGGTTTCTATATAACTTTCCTAATCGGGACTGAGCCCATCAAGCCGAGCGAGCTGACAGCCCTGTTTCAGCCAATCCGAGCGAGCCGAGCGAGCTGCTGGCCTCCGCTCAATTGGCTGAGCAAGCCAATTGGCTGAGCTCGCTCAGCTTGCTCATTGACATCTGTGTAGCTCGGCGGCCTTCTCGCACGACTTGACCCGGCTAGCGTCATCATCATACGACAGGACTGTCAAGATATGGGACGTAAGCAATGGGACGTGTCTGCACACGCTCAAGGACCATGGTCATTATGTTGAATCGGTAACCTTCTCGCACGACTCGACCCGGCTAGCGTCAGCGTCTTACGACGATACTGTCAAGATATGGGATGCGAGGAGCGGAACGTGTCTACATACCCTTGACGTTGGCACGCTTCTTTCATACTTGTCTTTCAACTCCACAGGTACTTTACTCCATACAGAAATGGGCGCTATCACTATCTCAAATTCCCAGATTACAGACCACATCGACGTTACAGCATCAAAATTACAGTACCAGGATGTTAGTATAAGTTCAGATCGCAACTGGGTTATGCGCGCTGGCAGCAACATGTTGTGGATACCCTCTGAGTATCGACCGTCAAGCTTGGCTGTGAGTGAGACCCAAGTAGGGATGGGAGTAGGATCAGGAAGGGTCTGGCTTTGTCAGATTACTTAGGCAAGTAGCGATAGATAAATAGAGGACCTCTCTATACACACACACACACACACACACATAATTTATTTACGCCCGGCGGCCGAGCCGAAAGGGCTACTAATACTAGCTAATCTAACTTTTACCCTACTTATGCTACGTCTTAGTCTCCTTAGCCTATATGTTTTCTTTAGCCCTCTTCTTTATATAGCTTATTATCTAAGTCGAAGCCCTTACTTAATATCTTGGCACGCTTCTTCTCTATCTACTATTATTCCTCATCAGGTGCTCGTAGATTAGTATTGCTAGTAGCAGACTGGCTCAGAGTCGGCTTCTCCAAGAGATTCTACAAGTGTTCAACGTCCTATCTTCGGCGGCTGAAGCGCTGTCTGCTGTTGGTTGCACGAGGCTGCTGATAAGCTCATGTTAGTATCTATAGTTTACCTAGTAGTTAGCTCTTAGTTTGAATTAAGTCTTCGTGTTGCTATTGCGAATCGTATCGTCGCTCGCACCGCATCTATGTCTGGCGCCCATTTCGCGTCATCTGTCGCTGCTTTGCCGCCTAGGTAGAATGACATGTTTCCTCTGCTTATCTGCGTGCACTGCAGCATTTCTATCCGCTGTGTTGTCCACTTTCGGCAACGGAACAGAAAATGCTCTACCGTCTCTGCTGCCTGTCCGTATTCGCATTGGTCTGTTGTTGATGCTTTGATTCGGTATCGATACGTGTTAAGCTGCGCCATGCCTGTTCTGAGCTGGGTAAGCACGCTGCTCTCTTTCCGCGAAAGCCCGTCGTAGAGTTGTCGCGTGTGCTTTCCTGGCAGTGCCGTGTCGATTCGTTTGGAATATGCTCCTACGTCTGCTGGTACCTTCTTAGCTATACCTTGCTTATATGCTATGTTGTGCGTAGTTGATCGCATTCTAGGGAGCTGTGTCTGTGGCCTATTAGGCCCGTGCGGAGCACGGGCAATTTCATTGAAATTCTGCTACAGCAGCCGTTGGGCCCGAGTAGATGTCCAGTGATTGAAGGCTGTGCGTGGGGGTGGTACATATCTTAACCTCGAATAAGGATCCGCAGTACGGCATACTGGACGGTAATGGAACGATGTTGGTGATAGAGAGGCCGCGCATCTGTGGTTCTGATTAGCTTACGTCGGATTTTGGCTGCGAAAATGGAACGGCAAGCCCGTGACTGCAGATCTGAATGCTTCAGGACTGCCTGATTCCTATGGGGATTGCTCACAACCCTTGATTGTGAACTCTGTAGCCTAGCCAGCCGGTAAAGTGGAAGCTGTTACATGTGGTTAGCCGCCGCGGAGGGGCCACGCTAATAAGCGGGTCCTTATTGTGATTGCTGTGCAGCGCTGTCAGATCCCTGGCGCGTTTGAATGCACACAGCGGAATGCTAGTTAACTCTATCACGCTTTGATCGTGATGACAATATAGCGCACCTTTGTTACAGCAAGTTTTTTTGCTTTTTTCAGACATGCTATACTGGTTTATGTATTACGAGATTGAAAAAGAATTTTCGGGTTCGCCTGTTTTGAGGCTGGGTGGAAGGCAGACGATCGATTTACTGTACGGCTTTTGATTGGAGGCCGTAGCGCTTGCCACGGGCGCCTAAGAACGCTCCAAATCCAGTATATGGAGTGTCCCTTGCAGCCAGGCCGCCTTACAATCTCAATGAATATTTCGTCACCCTCTTCTCTGGCCGCCTTTTTTCATTTTTTTTTTTTTGGCGGGCCTCTTTATCCTCAAGTCTGTTGCGCGAGCTGTTAGCGCGTTGTCATTAGCACTATTCAACACTACTGATACAATTGTGTTGCACGACAAAAATGGAGCGTAAACGATCTAGAGGTATGGTTCTATAATGCCGATCGTTCATAATGCGCGGTCTGATTAAATCATGGGTTCACAGTTACTCCCGAAAACTACACGCGAGCCATAATATCGCTCTCAAGAAGATGCTCGAGCACATCTGTCTTCCCGGGAAACAATTATATTGATATGGGAGATTGGATGCTACTAGACCGCAATCTTCTTAACCTTCCAAAAAGAGAAGAACAGGCCATTCCGTTCGCTTCTGATGCTGGACAAACTCACGACCTTGTTGTTGTGTACAACAGTAGCGAAGGGAAGTGGGATGTGCAAGGATATAGTCAAGAGGAACACGGAGACTTCTATGCTGCTACCTCTGCTCCTGAGGCAGGCCTCGGGCAATTGATTTTCATTCGAGGTTTCATATCGCCATCATGGGTATCCACCATTGGGAGCAAATACAACATCGACCCGGAATTCTTTAGACGACACATGGAATACCTTTCGGCGAGCGTTGACCGGCATGCATACAGTCTTCCATCACTCGCCAGTTCGTCCAATAATATATTCCGGCTTTGTGTGAGCACAATTCTCCACCGTGATGGGTTTGGTAGACATGATCTTCGGTCACAGCGATCTGATCAATCAGATGAACTTGGGGTATACAAGACACAACAGCTCAGATCTAAAGTCCGTTGTGGAGACTCAGTGGTGCGCGAGTACTCTACCTTGTGCTCGTGCTTCTCCGTAATTGAGCAATGGATATCGCTTTGTGTCACAAAGACCACAGTCCGCAACAATCAATTAAGTGGGTCCTAGAAGGTTCAGATTGGATTGATTGATTACCGCTTTAAGCCTAGTAGTTACCTATAGGAGTTTAAGCCCTACCTAGATAGGTAAGTGGGTCTAGGAGAGTGACCGGATTGAATTGATTGTTGCGGAGTCTAACAAAGACAGACCACGGTTGGGCCGGTAAAAGACCTCACAACATGGCACGAAGAAAGTTTGCTGATACAGGATCTAGTTGTCGTTTGGATGGACCACGGTAGACCCTTGGAGAAGTCACCTCCCGGACCATGGACAAGTCATATCGAATCCAAGGCCACAGCATTACCCATAATCCAGCACCATCACAAGATGGCATTTCGAACCACCACCAACTATCTAGATCCAAATACTAATTCTTCAGTGGAATTCCAGCAGAGTACGGCTGTTCTCCCCTTGCAGTACGATTCACTGGTCGGGCTCGTCGATCTGTCCCGTCGCGCAGCTCAAGATCCGCTATCGATGTGCATCCCATTATTTGCGCATGCTGCTTTCTCCGAAATTCAGTTTTTAAACCTTATGGAGTCCAGGATCCGAATGCAGATTGATGCGGTAGCCAAAGGAGTCTCAGCCGACGCATTGGGAACTTTTCAGTATTTTTGCAATATTCTGGACAGGCATGCTCGGCAACTGGCAGAAAGCACTCGCGCGTTCTGCAAATTGATCAATCAAAGTAATCAAAGGTCAAATGGTGTCAGAGCGGCAAGCCCAATGTCCAAAATCGCTGTGCCCCCAAGCATCGGTATGCACCGGGAGATGTCAGAAACCGAGACAGCCAGAAATATTGGATCAAGTAATTTCGAAAATGCTTTTGCAGCGAATAACCTTTGGGAAGACTACGAGCAGCTCCATATTCGTTGTATCGACCTGTCGAGAATGTGCACTCAGGGTATAAATCTAGCGATGAACAAAGCTACGATTGAGGAGTCTCGAAAGGCAATTGAGCAATCTGAACGACTCAAAAAGCTAACTTTGTTGGCAACGTTCTTCATTCCTCTCACCTTTAGCACCAGCTTGTTTGGTATGAACATTGATCTCCTCGGACAGAACGGCGTTCGATTTTGGTGGTTCTTTGTCCTATGTGTACCAATTACTTTGTCTGCCTACGTGCTTTATTTGTGGGACTTTCAGTTCCTGAAGCGGTGTTGGGAGAGATTCTGGAAAGATCGTCGCTGTGTGAGACGGAATAAGACGGCGGAGAAAAGCAACAAGGATCCGAGTCACATTGTTTGAACACATTTTTCCGTGAGCCCATAGTTAAGCCCATTCTTAATAGTTAGGCTACATAGTGATAGTACACCTGTAAAAGAAAGACGCAAACATAGGTGGCACCGCCTCTAACGTATTCCACTAGTAAGCTGCGCACCTCCACATGCTATATAGTGACGTCGCTGGTCTCTCATACGTTCCTGGCGCTGAATAAATGTAGATAGCTTTCTATTCTTTTCTGCGAGTATAGTCGCTGAGTTCATTGCAAGCTGAACGCTTTTGGTAAGCTGGCGTATAGCAGCGCTTGTTGGGCTCTTTGAGTATCGGCATGGCCACTCTTGGAGATAGTCTACTTGATGCTGAAGCTGCGCTACTGTATGTGGTGTTCCTGTCTGCGTTGCGATGTTATTGTCTGTAGTTGTCTGTAGCGGAGACGGCGTCCGGACGACTGTAAGCGACGATAGGATGAAATCTGAATACGGAGGAAAAAGCCTAGCCATCCGGAAGCTTGACTGGATGTTCTGCTTAGACTCCGCAACAATCAATTCAATCCGGTCACTCTCCTAGACCCACTTACCTATCTAGGTAGGGCTTAAACTCCTATAGGTAACTACTAGGCTTAAAGCGGTAATCAATCAATCCAATCTGAACCTTCTAGGACCCACTTAATTGATTGTTGCGGACTGTGGTTCTGCTGCGTAAATACAACTAGCCGGATCCGTGTATAGATTGTGAGGGAGTCTACTATCAACGTGGTAGACGCCCTGGTGCACAAGCTCCTCAATCTCACGTCCGTACACACGATTGAGTGGTGAGAGGATGTGAGGTGGCATACAGAGAGTGATGATCTTGTTCTCCTTGCAGTACGTGTCAAACGCTGGCGTAGCGTGGCCGCTGTGGCTGTCTAGGATCAAGAGACGATACGCCCCAGCTATACGAGCCACTGTACACTGGTTGAAATGCTTTACCCACTCTACGCTAAGCGCATCTGTTGTCTAGCTGTTGTCTGATACTGCGAAAGTCCAGTCTGTAGGGTGGTCACCGTCAGACTCCGCAACAATCAATCGGATCGGCATGATTGATTCCTATCTAGGTTAAAGGCTGCCTAATGAAGTAATTCTTTAACCTATATAGGAATCAATCATGTCAATCGATTGATTGTTGCGGAGTCTGGTCACCGTAACAGCTAGCCTGGTGCTGCTTACCAGACAGGGTCACGAACGGTGGCAGCGACCAGCCAGACGCGTTAATATACTCAATCGTCGTTACTCACTCGCGGTTACCTGGTTGTGCGGCGACTGCTCGACTAACTCTGTTTGCGCTAATGACTACTTTTGACGTGCCAGCTACCCCCATCATAAAGCCAGCCTCATCAAAGTTATAGACGTTTTGCTCTAGAACGCCGTACGTCTGGCACGTCTCCTCTACAAGCTTGAACCACGCTGCTATTATAGCTAGATCCTCACAGTAAGCGTGATGGCTATGAAAGCTTCTGCTCTTCTTTTTCTGAAGCTCAGACTGGCTATTAACGAAGCGCGACACCCATTTCCTATCAACAGGTTGTGGAGGTGGATCTTGGCTACGCGCAGTGGGCAGAATGTCTGCCATCGGTCGCACGTCGGTAAGGTCTAGGATCCACTGCATGAGAGACTGCTCTTTGATAAGGGATAGTGTACGGTTGACAGATCGTAGCTCTGATCGTAGCTGTGTATCGTGGAGGCGCGTTCGTAGTGTTGGTTCTGGGACATCATATACTGCTGTAAGTGTGCGCACTATTTGGGTTATTTCGATGGGATGCTATAACTAGCAAGACTTATTTTACGTTCACAAGAATTTTATCGTGTCAAGCTTTGGGGGGGGGGGGGGGGGGGGCAGCTTACTGGTCCCGCACATCAGCTGTCACAGAAGGCTAATGCAAGGTGCAGGCATCCATGCAGCATGCCCCTCATCTACTTAAGCGCTGTGTCCCGCACTGCTAATCTTGAAATGACACGCCACCAACCATCCACCACCAACAGCTCACCAAGCTGATATTGTTC